GGCCCAGAAGCTGAGCAACAATATTACAATCTGTCCAGACCAGGAAGGATACTTTGAGAGTTAAAGGGCTCCACAATCACCGCATAACCATGTAAACCAAGACAGTGACGAGGTGCAGGAGGCCCCGAGCCATTTAGTCTCCTCCACGTTTGTAGCCTGGTCTTCTACCTCTGCCCTCACTTCTTCCTCAGTTTCCTCATTCTGCTGTGCACAGCTACCAGGACCGTCTTTGGGCCCTCGTACTTTTCTCTGCTGCTTGAAATCCCCCTTCCCGCCTCCTTGCACAGCCACTAGGCTCCCTGCTCTACCTCATCCCTTCATCCGAGAGTCCTGTGACCTGAGGAACCACACCTGTCCCCAGTCACTTAAAGCGCCCTGCCTTTTCTCTTCCTTCCCAGTGCTCTGGGAATGCTAAGACCCACTCCGTATTGTATAGTCAATTGGCCTCACCCAGTAGGATTTTGCTTGGCCACCACTGAGCCAAGTCCCTCACTCAGCGCTGGGTTAGTAACAGATGCTCCATGAATGTTCATCCAGGACCAGATGGACTCATTTGGGTGGACACTGACTCTAATGACACAACTTGGGTCAGATGCCCCTGAGTGTTCTCTTGTGACTTCCCTCTATCCACCAAAGCAGAAATCATCATTCTCATCTTAGGATGAGGGAGTCGAGGCTCAGTTTTGATGTTCAGTATTTATCAAGCGACGCAGATCGGGTATTATGTGTCAAGGACAGAAGATCTCATGTTATTATCAACAGTTTGACAGAAGAGGAAGCTGGGTCTCAGAGAGGTCATAGCCACCTCCCATGACTGGTTAGCAGAGCTGGAACCAGACTTGGGGGACCCTCCGTGTGGTGCTTCCTCCCTACCTCCAAACATTTCATGGGTCTGATCAGCAGCTGGAAATCATTTCCCAGCCTCCCAGCAGGTCCTGGGGGAAATCAGCAGGTGTTGGGATGGTGCAAGTGTGGCACAGATGTGTGTTTGCAGAAGGCAAACTTCCTGTGGAAAGAGATGAAGAATGTGGGGAGGCCTGGGGCAGAGGATAACGGGCTTCAGATAGGGACCAGACAGATAATGTGGGGCTGCCACAGTGGCACACATTTCCATAGTGCCTGAGTAACCATAAACTGTGTTCTAAAGCTCGGCCGCTATCGGGAGGTGGTATGGACACAGCACGTGAATCAAGAATGCAACATGACATCTGCTAGGAAATAATTGTCCTGACACTATCATGGGTTTTTGTTGCCTTCACATCGTGGCCTGTAATTAACAGAGAAGCCCCATCATTGGGTTCATTTGTGTGAAGGACACGATCATTACATCAAGACTTCTCACGGTGATGCTGTGCGATGTTGTCACGGAAACTGTGTGCTTGTTAGTAAGGAACGTTTTCAAGGTTACTGGGAAGTTGGCATTCCTCACCCAGTGCTGCTCTGTGACCACTGTACAGTGTCCTTTGTGACAGGGACAAAGACTCAGTACTCTGGAAGAATGGGCTTGCTCCTATTCTAGGTCTCACTCTGGCTGATTCTCTGTGCTCTCAGAGAGCTCATTAAAAATATTACACGGAAATGTTCAGTGTTGTGATCTGAGTGTGGCCACACAGGTGTGTGAATACATAATAACCCATTGAGCTATGCACTTAAGGTGAGTACTCTTTAGAGCATGTAGGTTACAGCTCAATAAAAGCATTTAACGTCGCTCTTATTGCCAGCAGAACTTTGTTCCATCAACAGGTGTGTGCCCGACTCAGGTAACATCACTGTGAGCTGAGGCACCGCCTTAAAGACAGGGTATATCGTGCCTCTTGGTGTCCTTGTAGACTTTATAATACCGGGAACAGACAGACCTCAGCTCCTGGCAAACAAGAAGTGCTAACCCCCTCCCCGACCCCTGTCCCGTAAGCAACTGGCTGATCTTGAGAAACACAGGCTGTGATGACAGCTATGGAGGCAAATGCAGTTGGATGCCTGTGGTGTTTGGTGTTTCACTAACTGCAGGTCTAGGGCCAGTGGTCTGGTCATGGGTTCAGCGGAGAGCGGTGCACAGTGTGGCATCTGGGTGGGGGTCTCCTTCTGAGAGTTGTAGCCATTGTTGATTCCCTCTGGTCTTGTTTTGAAGTCCTATTTCATTTCCATTGTTTTGTTGGACTGGCTTTTATTCTCTTCTGTTTGGTTATGTTAAATCTGATGGCAGGAGCAGCTATGCCAAAGATAGCATGACATACTATGGTAGCAATTTGGATTTATGATTGGCTTGTTTTGAAGTCCTTTATTGCATTGTTTCATTTTTATTGCTTCTATTCTGTTCTGTTCTGTTTGATTTTTACTATGTCTGAAGTTATCTGCAGCTATTGTGAAGACATCCAGAGGCATTATGGTAACTATTGTTCATTTCATATTTTGAAGTCTAGTATCCCTTACACTGGTTTGTTTTGATTGGTTTTATTCTGTTTTGTCCTCTTTAAAATAGAAAAAATCAGTGGGAGAATGATGTGTATGATGTCAAACATGTTATCGTTTGTCCAATCTAGCACTGCTTTTCAATAATTACTTGCTGCCCTGAAAACCTTAAGACAAGGATGCAGATGCAGGTGTTTGCTGTCTCGGGTCCGGCTGCTCTGGCTCATAGGCCCAGAGTATACACCTTCCACTTTCCTCCGACCACCAGCCTCCTTCTCTTTCCGGGGCAACCGTCCACTGGTCAGTGTACTGGGATTCATTCTACCCTCCTGGGACCCACGCTCCACCCCTCTCCGGAACCAGCCCTTCTTTTCCCACTACCCTGGGTGGTTGAATCCATCATAGCTCAGTGGTTTCTGTGTGGTTTGCTTCTGCCAATCAGAGCATCACATTAATTTGTCCACAATGATTGTTATTAGCTCTCATCTGGACCAGCTATACATACAACCTAATCAGGGCCAATAAGATGGAGGGAAGCCTTGAGTAGGATTGCCATGAAAACAGGACATGGGACTGGAACCTGTATGGCACAGCCCAAAACTTCTGGCAACCATCTTAAAAAGCACATGAAGCTTTGGTCTGAACTCAGAACTGAAGAGAGAGGATCCTGCTGATGGGGCGATCCTGAGGTTCTTTTTTTCCCCCTTTTTGAGATAGGGTCTCACTATGCAGTTCAGGCTGGCCTTGAGTTCACTTTGTATCCCAGGCCGGTCTCAGACTCACAATGATCCTCTTGCCTCAGCCTCCCAAGTGCTGGGATTACAGATGCATGCCACCACACCTAGCTATGATCCTGAGGTTCTTAAAAGAGCCCCTTGATCAAGCTCTACCTGCATGTAAATACTGCTGGACTTTTCCAACACACTGCCTGCCTTGTCTTTTTTGTTTAAGCCAGTTGAGAAAATCAAGAACCATTTGCTTTCAAGTGACATAAAATTTTCCTGGAAAATCCTTCCAGGATCAGGACACACCAGATAAAAAACAGTAGAAGCCTAGACTTTAATCTAACAAAAACATAAAACTTTCCAATACTAAATCATCAAGGAGTGAAACACACTGTAAAATCCAAGTCAATAAACATGTTCAAGCAGGTTAGCGCTTGTTATCGATACATTCATTTGGCACAGAACAAATGGCTGAGTACAATGAATCTGAACTTCAGGTTCCTTCCTAAGAATATCAGAGTCAGAATATTCCCCAGGAAAGTTTCCTGAATATACTAGGGAGATTCTTTCCCTACACCTGTTGTGCCTTACCTGCACATCCCCATGCTTGGCTTGGCTTGGCTCCCCTCCCTCTCTTCTCTTCCCCTCCCCTTCCTCTCTTCTCCTCCCCTCCCCTCCCCTCCCTCTCTTCTCCTCCCCTCCCCTCCCTTCTCTTCTCTTCCCTTCTCCTACCCTTCCCTTCCTTTCCCTTTTTTTTCCAGTACTGGGGCCTTTCCATTGAGCTATATCTCCAGTCCTTTCTAAAAACAGTTGGGTTTTTTTGTTTGTTTGTTTTGTTTTTTGTCTTTTTCCTTTTTATCGGTACTAGGGATTGAACTCACAACTGCCTGCTTGCAAGGCAGGCGCTTATGCCGCTGAGCTAAATCCCCAGACCCAAACAGTTGTTTTTTGAGACAAGTTCTTGCTGAGTTACTGAGTTGCCCAGTCTAAGCTCAAATTTTCAATCCTTTTGCCTTAACTTCTGGAATGCTGAGATTACAGGCATGCGCCACTACCCCTGGTTCCCAGTTCTTTTGTTTACACTGTTTTAATATTGGCTTTATATGTTCATGCATTTATTTCTCTCTCCCAGCAAGCTGTACACAAGAACAGAGACTTGTCCATTTTGTTTTCCCATACTTCCTACAATATACAGTGGTCTATAAGTAATACTTTGCTGAAAGAATGAGACCTCCCTGACCCTGTGCTTCTCGGAAGTTGCTAAGAAGCCAAGTGTCCCAGTGGAACACATGAGACTTGTAACCATTCAATCACTTTGACACACCTATGTAAAGACATCTCATCTGTACAAATCAATGAAAGGTGTCACCTTAGTAGGGGACAGTTAGTAGGGGACTCATGTCACTCAAATTCTCATCCCAGCACACTCAAACTTGTTAGGAACATCTCTCCCTCCCATCCTGGTTTCCAGCACAGCAGACAGTCCTGACACAGGCTCCCTCTGTGGCACCTCTACCCACCCTCCTGCCTCAGTGCTGGATTCTGGCTCTGCCACTGTGTCCTAAGGTAATGGAGGAAGGGAAACCTTCAAACCCTACCTGCGCTATGCATATACAATCCTATCTAACCCTCACAGCCACCTACGAAGTTGACACCGGTATCTTCATTTCACAGAAGAGAGAACTAAGTTCCAGAGAGGTCTGTGAGCTGCTCAAGACTGCACAGATCTAACTTTCGATTTTAAACTAGTTAGCTAACTAGGTTCCCTCCCTAGCACACATGCCTGCAAATGGTCCTCTCTGAGGGCTGAGCCTCCAGTGTATGCACACACACACACACACACACACACACACACACACACAATGTCATTAACATTTTTCTTTTATTTATTATACTGGAAGAGCAGGAAATTACACAGGCCTATTATAGAGTAAGCAAATTCCAAGTAAATTACACAAATGGAATTTTTAAAAAGCACACAAAGCAACTGTAGAATGATCTATACATTTCAGAATGAGACACCCGGGGGCTAGGCTGGGTGAGGTGTGCTCAGCACATCTTACACAAATTATCCAGAATTATCAAAATTATCAAATCTGTTTCCTCTCCTGTCCAGCCCATCTCCTGGTCTCATAACCCCAACAGTGGCTGGGGAGGAAAGAGAGGGAGAGAAGGAATTTTGAAGCCAAGGCATCAGGTCTTTGCCTCTGATTCTGGGTTATTTGAATCAAGGGAACTTACTTTCCCTCAAACACTCAATCATTTCATTCCCCTTTCCAGTTTTATTTGGAGGCATTAAGAGAAAAGAATTGTCATGGGGGGTGAGGAGGGGCGTTTTCTCCTTCCCTCACCTGTGGACTCCCTGACCCAATGCCCAGTGCATACGCTGGGCCAGATGGCTGAGCTCCTGGCAGCCAGTTCAGCTGTTCAAGAACACAGCTGTGTTTAACCTCATCAACTCAACCGCTTCAGTTCATCGTGGGGTAGAAGGGGGATACCAACCAGTTTAATTAGCTTAACGAGGGCCGGGGGAACTGGTCCACATTCTGAGCTTGTTGCACAGAACAAATGGTTTGCTTTGCTCCCTCTGTGATCATCTGAGTGTTCAAAAGAGCTCTCTGCCACCAAGGAAGAGTTTCCACTCCCTTTCTCTTCTGCGAAGTGGTACAGTCAAGGGTACCAACATGAACATGCATTCAGTAGCTCAGTTCTTCCAGAGATGCATTTCTGAGAATTCGGAGTACACAGACTGAACATCAGAATGCCTGCTCAGGTAAAAGGCAATGTCAGGCTTTCGCTGAACCTTTGGTCTCCCAGTGGGGAGCCTAAGGAGGTCTCTGGGGTTTGAGAATACAGTGTTGACATTTGCATTTGCATTTATGTTTACCTTTTTAGTTTTAAGTGTCTAGTCTGTGCAGGTTTTACATTCTTCTGAGAGGGGTAAGTGATCTGCACAGCTTGAACATCAGGACCTATAGGTAAAAAGAACAATTCACTCTGGACTTTTGGAACTGGGGAGTCACTTGAACAGAATGGGAGGACTGATATCCAGCACTGCTACTGGTGGTAGCTCAGAAGTGCAGAGGTGTGAGCCCAGTGCTGATCCCAGTACAGGGAGACCCCTACATTTCCTGTCACTGACCCCAGGGAACTCAGGGCAGGTGAGAGACAAGCCAGGCTTGGATATTTTTACTGTAGACAGTGATGAACTGGGTGTGGAGACAGGGTACACACAGGATGGCAGTGAGTGTGCCCCTATGCAGGAAGGTGTCAAAGGAGGCTCCTCACTCAGCTGCAGGATGGAGGTGTGTTTACACATCAAAAAATTCTTCGGAGTAGGCGTTGGGGTCTTCCTGTGACCGCGTCACCACCTTGAACTGGCGCCGAAGAAAACCACCATAGCGCTTCTGGTTATCCCACTTGAGCTTGGGACGGATGCGTCGCAAGAAGCCCCCATAACGTTTGTACAGGTCTTCATGGCCCGCATTGTCCCCATCCCTGTCCCCCTCCCTGGCCACCTCTGAGCTCCTCTTGGGATATTTGCGCAGAAAACCCCCGTAGCGTTTGACCTGCTCCTTGGGGTCCTCGTCAAAATCAAGTGCAGCCGCCTCCACAGCACCGCTGTTCAGTTGGGGAGCCCCCATCGCCTCAGACCCTAAGCCCTCCCCGAGCCCACCAAGGAGACCCCTGAACTTGTCCTCTGCAGGGGTGCTGGGGAGGAATCTGCTTTTCTCCAGCTCCTGCAGGAAGGGCCTGGCACGCTTGGCCAGCTCCCCGTAGACCTCTTCTAAAGCTGCCCTGCTGTCCAGGCCACTCTGGTCCCTGAGCCTGAGGGCAGAGGGGAAGAAGGACAGGATGCCTTGGCATCGCTCCCACTCCTCAGAGGGCAGCAAGGTTTCCTGGCATTCCAGGGAGCAAATCTGCAAAAGACCCCAAAAATAAGACACCCCCCCCAACAAAACATCAACACACGTGCCCGCCCCACCCTGCTCCAGAGCCCTGGTCCAGGTCCAGGAAAATCAACAGGCATCACCTTGTCAAGCACTTGGATGCCCATTTGATGCTCCCTGTCAAGCATACAGGTGACTTTGTGCCCTGACTTTCCTGAGGGCACATAGCTACAGGCAGCAACGCCAGCCTGGAGGTGGGAGTTTCCCACAGGTTCCAGGGCTTAGCGCTCGTCTTCTCACTTTATGCCAGGCTGAAGGGTGCTGCTAACACTGTACAAACATGGCGGAAAGAACATATTCGAGGGAACACAGGAGAGGGCATCGAACCTCAATGGGGGACAAAGAGCATTCTTCATGGGGCTGCTGGGAGAATTTAGTCAGGACACTGCCTGACCTGGCAGTTGGAAATGATGGAGACAGCTCTTTCCATGGGAGAGACTGGATGTGAAGGGGTCTATCAGCCCAGGGTGAGGAACCTTGAAAAGTTATTCCAGAGCTGCTGACCGCAAAGCCAGCCCTTGTGACTGATGCTCCTGCTGCTGGGCACCCAGCTCCCTGGGAACCTGCATCTCACACCTCTGTTCTGGCCCAAGGTAGTCCAGGGCGGTGAGGTCTGGGTACCCAGGCTGTCCCCAATGCTTGTCTGGGCTGGGTGCCCAGACAAGTCCTGCACGGGTGGGATAAACACAGGACAGGCCTGCCCCGTGACCTCCCCTCTCCAGGTTCTGCATAGAGAAGGACCGGGCATTGAGGAAACGTCCCTGATACCTACCAGAGGATTGATGGGCTTGGGCCCGTCCTGGGTCCTCACAGCACACAAAGAGCACTGGGACAGGCATTCTGCTGCGGCAGGGGGCATCGCCAGGAGGCAGGCAGCCAGCACCAGCCTGGGCCACACCATCCCTCTCGCACTTCCTACAGGGAGGGAGAAGAGAAGAGTGTGAGAGCTGACTGCTGTGGAGGGTGCCCTGAGCTGGCAAAGACACCTCTTCTGCTCCTGGCAGGGGCAGTTCAGGAGCCAGAGAGGAAGCAGAAACTGACAAGAGCAGAGTGCTGCAGGGGGCGTCCCCATGCAGCGCAGCTCTTCGAGGTGAGCTGTGCCAGTATCACTTAGTGGGTGGAGACATTAAGGCACAGGCAGGGGAAACCATTGTACTGCGCATGAGTGGGCATGTTAGGACCTGAGCAGGTCTGTCTGACGTCACAGCCCACTCTAACCACCTCCCAGCCAGAAGATACGTGGCTATGTGCCTGTGGGGCCTGACTTCCCCAGGGAGTCACAGGCTGGTCTGTTCTATGGTTTTTTTCTTTTTCCCAGTACTGGTTGTTGAATTCGAGGCCTTTTGTATGCTACACAAGTGCTGTGTTGCGGAATCGCACTCTGTCAAGTCTCTTGAACTTTCCTTTCCCACTCTACTGCTGCCATTTACACTGGCCATAGCTCTGCCTCCACTGCCTCTCCATGCTGGCGTCCCTGCTTCCAGTTTCTCCCTGATCCCACCGTGAAATACCCTTGCCAGCACATAATTCTGTGATGATATCCACAGCATGGAATCAGGCCTGGCCTTCTGCCTAAATGTCAGGGACACCCTGCCCCATCCCAGCACCTCAGCACTTCAGCTCTGAGCACCAACAACAGCCAGCTTTTTAGCTTCCCTGAACGAATATATCAGTCTCTGTCTCACCCCTGGGCCTTTGCACATGCTGTTCATTCTGCCTGGAAAACCCTTCCTCTCCTCATCTGCTGCTTGTCACTTCAGTCCTAGTTCAGCTGTAACATCTGCTGGGCAGCTTTTGCTCTTTGAAGCTGGATGAAGTGCTACTACTTCCCGTCCTCCGAGTAAGGTGCACCTCTCTCTGTAAAGCAGAACACGACTTCACAATTAGCTGTGAGCCTAGAAGCTGGCTCCACGAAGGCAGAGCCTCCTGTGGCCTTCTCTGTATGCTCACTCACACAGACCACAGGGCCTCGCGCTTTCTGTTCCTGTTGCAGTCCCCTGACCTCAGACTTTCATGTGACTTGTTTTTTCCTGTGCTAAATGAATTAAATGACACATGGCCAGAGAGGCCTTTGCCAGCCACTGTTTCTAATGTGGTTTCCCAGTCTCTCTCCTGTCACACTGCAGGTTTCGTCGTGATACTCACCAGGCCTATGTCTTCCCTTTATCAGGTGTCTGTCTGTTTGGTGGCCACAGTTACACTTCCCCCACTAGAGTATTACCTCACCCAGGTCATTGACCTTAACTATCTCATCCTCTAAAGTCCTGGCCACCACGTAGTAGGCCCTCAGTAAATACTGGGCAAGTGAATGCTTTATAAGTAATTTATTACAAGCTGTCTCCTTCATAGTCAATTCTTTAGAAGTCAAAGTTGAAGACGCAAAGGTCACTCCAATGGCATAATATGCCTCTCTCCCATGCAGATACGAGGTCCCCAACAGCAGCCCATGGCTGGCTGGCTAGGGGCTCCACGCCTTCCCGTCTGGTCCTCCTAACCCAATGCCTCTAATCTCAAAGATGCCCTTCACCATTCCCCATGTCACTCATGCCTGCACGCTGCCCTGTCCACTTAGATGTTCAGGAGCCTGGAGTGGGGTTCCTGCTCCAGAAGCACACAGTGGGCCCCTGTCACAGTCTGCTAATAACTACCCCACTCACCATGTACTGAGCACCCACCGCCCTCATCCACTTCTTGCCAGTTGTGGGGGGGATACTTCTGAGGCAGTGAGCTGCCCCTGCCCTTCCTGTAGTGGGCATCTGGGTCCAGCCCCATCTGGTGGACCCCCCCCCACAGCCTCATACCTACAATTTCTTATAGAGCAACACTGATCCGTGCAGAGCTGAACCCTCTGTGAATGACCACAGGGTTGGGTGCTCAGGTCCCTGAACTCCTACGTTGAACTCAGCCCACCTGCCAGCTGTGATGGGCAAGTGTCATTAGCCCTGCCTTATGGACGACAGAACTGATGCCCAGAGAGGCCTGGTAAATCCCCCGAGCTCAGGCCTGGGTGCCTCTCCTGAAGCTGGGCCAATCTGCGCCTGGCACAGGGGAAGTGAAAATGTGTCCCCCTCGGTCCTTCCCAGCCTGTGGCTTCCTCACAGCTCTGTCGGTGCTAAGCAGATTAGGGTTCCGGACAAGTGAGCCGCTCTAGTTTCGCAGGTGGTTCATGTTTTCCCTGATACCGGGCGGTGACTAGGCCAGCCTGTTACAAGATTAGCAGCGAATCACAGGGTGGGGAGCCCCTGCAAATCCGGCTGGACACGTCCCGCACCACCAGCTGCCATCTAAACAGAAGGCCAGTGCGGACCTCTGTGGCCGAGCAAAGCTGGGGCCCACTCCTCTGCTTTTGCCCATTAGCTTGACCCTGGATAATGGTCGACTGATGGTTACTGAGCTTTGCGAAATTCTGAGACGCCTCCGTGGGGTATCCCCACATCCCCATGGCATCTTGCCGTGAGGGTTTTGCCCACTTTGCAGGAGACAAAACAGACACCTGCCAACACTGCAGAGCCAGGAAGGAGCCTAGCATCAAGTCTCAGGTGAAGCTGAGGTTCCAGCGCTCACCTTCATGCCCACTGGGCAGTACCCAGGCCCCTCCGTGCAGCCACCGAGCCCCAGCTCCAGCCTCCACCTGGTCTAGAGTGGCTTCCAACATGTCCTCCCAGACACTGTCTACAGGCAGTGCAGGGAGACTCCACTGGCTGCACCTCTGCCCTGCACTGGCTTTCAGGGGCTCTGTGCTCAGGGCCTTCCTAACACAGAGCCGACAGGGGCTGCGTACTGACTGGGAGCGGGCCCTGTGCTCCACACTGTGTGTGTCCTAAGGGAAAAGTCCTCACAACAGCCCACAGCTGGCCTAGTCTCCCCTTTACAGACAAAGAAATGGGGCCACAGAGAGATGGCGCCATCTGCCCAAAGCACCACAGCAAGTGCACAGCATTGGGCAGCCAGATATGAGCGCTGCTGAGCCACCTGCCATCGCACGACAAGGGCCCCCAGCACCCTGCCCTCTGCCTCAGCACTCAGGGCCCCTCAGCCTGGACACTTTCATCATCCGCCCATCCCACGCCTCTCCCACCGACCTGGATAACTTGCACTCCTTCAAAACTCAACTTTGACTGCCTCCTCCAGGAACTCCACCTGGATCAGTTCCCTCCTCTGGGCTTCCTCTGCCACCTGTGTGACCTCAGAACCTAATTACAGGCATCTCAGTAAAGTCCCTGGGATGTAAATGCCTATGCTGTGTTGGGGGCTAATGCATGCATGAATGAATGGTGTCCTGGCACCTCGTACAAGAGAATAATAGGAGTGAGAGCTCTGTGCAAATTTGTTGGTGAATAAACAGTTTCAAAAAGCTGTGAGATGGGATACCATGTCTGGGGCATCGAGCACACATCTGTCACATTATAGGTGCTTTACAAGTGGAGCATGCAGGCTGCAGCCCAGAAAAATCCAATGAGCTTTTAATACTGGGATGTTAACAGAGGAGGACACAAGGGAGATCACGAGGTCTGACTCACTGCTGGATCAAAAAGTTACTGGTGAATATCTGCCCTGGTGAGGAGGTGCCAAGCGGGGCAGGGCAACCCTCACCCATGATCACACCACTTCTCAAGCAGCCACCAGCTCCCAGCATCTACAAGGTACCAGGCTGTGCATTACCATCTTATGCACAGCAACCTAAGTGGAAGTTTTTGTACCCATTACACAGAGTGCAAGCCTGAGTCTGGAAGAAGGAAAGTCATTGCTTGTCCAAGTATACCTAACTTCCAAAATGGGAGAGTTCAGTCTTCTACCAGATTCTTCTGGGTTAAAAGTGGACCCCACCAGAGTCACATTGCCCTTGAGACTTGGGACCCTGTTTCCTTTCTTTATGGGATAAAGTGTGTCAGATGGGTCCTGAGGAGGGAGAGTCTCATCTTTCCCGGGGTCTGCTGAGGGAGGGAGCTTGGAAGTCATGTGTTCCCTATGGCCCTGGCAACGACAGATCATGGCTCTTTGGGATGAACTGAGGGGAAAAGAGCCTTGCCTGTCTTTGGGGTAAGGGGAGAAAGCAGCCCATTTGGCAGGGATGAGGGTGACATCAGGCAGATGACCCCAGCGTGTAGCTTGTGTGGTCCTCAGTGAAAGGAGGGGCCTCTGTCAAACACAGTGGGCCTCGGGCCTTGCAGAAAAAGCCCCCTTCATGGGGCATTCATGAAGTGTGTCCTGGCCACGACCTCAAGCCTGAGAGGAAAGACGACCAGTCGGGTGAGAGGCCTTCTCCCCTAAGAGTCAAGACTCACCGCCTCCTCAATCACGTGGCTGGATCCTCACTGCAGGTCTCGCTCTGTGCCTGGCCACATTCCACCAGTGCTGCCCACCAGGAGAATCCAGCACCCAGCTGTGTGCTGACACCTGTGCCAGTCATTGTTTCCATGTTACAAAAGCTTCAGCCTGGGATGGGATGTACTCCTGCAATCCCAGCAGCCGAGGTGGCTGAGGCAGGAAGATTTGATGTCAAGCCCAGCCTGAGGCCCTTAGTAGTTAGAGACCAGCTTACTGAAACCCACAATAAAAAAAATAATAAATGGCTCACAAAAAAATTAAAAATGGCTGGGACTCTAATAGTCCCAAGGCCCTGGATTCCATCCCCAGCACAGCACAAAAAAAAAAAAAAAAAGAGAGAGAGAGAAAGAGACAGAGACAGAGACAGACAGAGAGAGACAGAGAGGAGGATCATTTTGAAACAAGCAGCCCAGAAAGCCAAAAACATTTATTCTCTAGCCTTTACAGAGAAAGTGTGCTGTTCCTGCCTCTGTGAATTTTATGACCGTTTTATGACTCTAATGGTTTTCAGCTGGTTTTCTTGGGCCACCAGGCACAGGAACATTTGATTGAATTACAGCCACTGCCAGACACTGTTGACATGGGCATCCCTGACCAGGTGGCCAGGGCTAAGTGGGCCAGGAGCAGGTCACCCACTGCTCTCCAGGCCACAACCAAGGGGTACTAGGGAAGCTCCCCTGGATTTCCCTTTTCCATAGAGAGGAAAGACAGGGGCTCTGGGATCAGAGGGATTATCTCTCAGATCTCTTCAGCCAGCCTCAGTCTTCCCACCTGTGAATGGGGGTGTCACCTCTCCATGGGTTCCCTTAGGGACCACTTGAACAGCATCCTTGAAAGAGACAGCACACAGGCCAGCCCCTCCTTCCCTCCCCAGGGACACGTCTTCCTGCCCTCTTATCTCTTTGGTGATATTTCAACATTGTAGTCAGCCGAGGGCTCCAAGGAGCTGCAAGCATTTTTATTAAAAAAGCCAGCATTGAATAGTAATGACTTGATTTAACATCGCAATTATCTTTCCGTGCACTTTATCGCATATGATTATCCTTATTTGATAGAAGAGGAAATGGAAAAAGGTAGAAATGAAGTCACTTGTTTAAGGTCACATCATGAGTCAGGAGGGAGGTGGAGACAGAGTTTGGCCTCCCACACTGGCAGCGACTGCCCTGGAGATGCCACTGTTTCAGGGACCCCAGTAGCCCTCGGGGACAGTGCCCCTGCCCTGTGCCAGGCCCTGTGCCTGCAGATGAACTCGAGATGGGCTGCTGGTACAGCTCAGGTGCTAGGAGGAGGTGTGAACTGGGTGACACGGACCCTTGGGCTCTCAGCACTCTGAATGGTAGGGGTGGAATTTTCAGAGTCCACGGCACCCGCCACTTAATAGGATCGAGCTCTCTGCTGTACATTCATCTCTATCATTTCCTTTTGCCCACAAAAGAACTCAGATGGCTGGGCAATATGAGCCCACTTTCTAGATGGGAAAACTGAGGCTCAAGATTCAACCACGACCAAGAAATGAGGAAACAGCAGAACTAAGGTTCAAAATGAGCCTGCTGACTACACTCCACCCACTTCCCTGAGGCACAGTAGGGCTCCAGGAGCTACCGCCCTTGCACTCCCCAAGCTGAAACCATTTTGGTACTTTTATCCCCCAGAACATCTTGGTGTTCATCTTGGTGACCTCCAATGACTGGTGAAGGAGAACCCCCAAAGCAGAAGCTGCACCTTTGCTAGATTTACAGGCACTGATGAGGATGAGTGACCAGTTTATGGGAGCCGCTCAGGTTCTGAGCAGAAGGCAAGCATGCCCCTTAGCTCAGCGACACAGGACACAGGATGAGGCCCGACGTGGGCTGTACAGAGACCAGAGGGGAAGACAGCCCTGTGGTCCCCGGTTGCAGTGGGACACTTTTCACCAGCAAGACTGGTACAGAATTCCTGCCCGTTTTGCCTTTTGGTGCAGTTAAGGGATGGGGCTAAAGGTGAAGAGAGAGGGAGGGAGAGAGGACCTGCAGGCTTAGAGAGGAGACTCCGGGGAGGCAGGGAGACGGCAGTGTGTGTGGGAAGGGAAAGAAGGTGAGACTCAGAGAGGGGGAGAAGCTGGGGCGGAGAGGGAGAGGGCCTCGCGGGGAGAGAACCGAGAGGAAAGAAGTGGGCACAGAGACAGAGGAGGCCAGAGGAAGCCAACTCGATTCAGGCGCTGAGAGCCCCAGGGAACCACAAACCCCCATTCTCCCTCTGCTGGGGCCTGAGTCTGCCCCTTATTCTGAGACAGTGGCCAGAGACCCAGACACTTAGCAACTGCTCAGTAAAGCCTTGTCAAGTTAAATGGAATTGCCCAGGAATAAGACAGGCGTAAACGGCAGTTCAAGCCACTGTGGGGACAAAGCCCCTGGTGAATACGTCCCCAGGTCCTAGCATATCACTGCATAGGAGGTGAACTGAGTGGACTCAGGGTGGAGTCTTATGCATCTTTATCCCTCATGGGCCTGCACCCTTGCCTTCCAGCTGGGAGCATCAGTCTTGGTCAGGGCTGGAGGAGGCCCGGCCTGGGACACTGCTCCATCCTCAGATTCTACTCCCGGGATTCCTGGGTGTCTCCAGCAGACGGTCACTGCCCACCGTGGTGGCCAGCTCTGACTCACTATCACTTTGTCAGCCCCACTAAAACTGGCCCGTCACTCATGGGCGGGCCAAGAAGAATGAAAATGTGACATAAACTAGTAGCTAACCGCACTTTCTCAGACATGCACCGAAATCCAAACAGCAAATATTGATCCAGATGATGGAGGGCATCTAATAAACACAACTGTACAAGAACGACCCAGAGAGCTGGGCGGTGGGTGGGGGAATCAGGCAAGATTAGGAAGAATAAGACTTCAGGATCTCAAGGCAAAGGACGAAGCAATGAAGGCTTCTGTTGGGGTAGGGAGAGCACAGAAGTCCCACCACAGATGAAATATTAGATGTTCGACCATATTGCCCGAGCAGAGCACACAGCATGACGGAATGGAATGTTTGAGGAGATCATAAAAGATGGGCAGGGGGCCGACCTGCCATTTTGAAACAATGACAACTTGGACAGTCATAGTGGCAGTTATGGAGTGTCTATAAATGTTTTGAGCCTCACCACAACCCTGGGGGTGCCACTGTATGGGTGAGTGAATTAGGATGCCGAGAGGGGCAACCATGGTTCCAAAGTCACACAGTCGGTGAATGTAGGATCTGGAATGTGAACCCAGCACTCCTCAGGCATTTGTAGGACACATTTAGATGATCTATGGAAAATTCCTGCCCCCGGAAGTTACCTCAACAAACAGGGTACATGTGTTTTACACTGATCAGAAATTCCTCAAGCAGCCCGGAGCCACTGATTCCTTCTCTCTGCTCCTGCCCCATCCCCACGAGCCGGGGCCCCACCCCCAGCTCAGAGATCACTGCAACATCTTCCCTGCAGCTGCCAGTGGAGACAGAGGTCCGTTTTGCAGCCCACCACCCCTCACACCCTGCTCCTGAGGCACAGCAGCGGGTTGGAGATCCTGTCAGCAAACGCAAACCTCCCCAGCAGCACAGCTCACCGCCTGGGGCTGTTGAAAAGCTCCCCCCACACAGATCTCAAAACCTGGAGATAAATGACCTGCCAAAACAGAACAAAAGCAAGGTGGATGGGACAGGCACAGGGCACGAGGAGGGAAGGAAGGAGCTCGCAGAGGATGGAGTGGTGAGGCCTGCGAGGCGGAAGGAGAGGACTGACATCCAGAACCGATTTAGGCGCATCAGGCCATGGATCTTGATGGCAATGTCTGTCAAATTAGAAAGACAATTCTTGGGAGAAAGATGATAATGAGGACTTTCAGTCTGTGGGAGGGGAGCTGAAATCAGATCCAATAACCTAAAGAGCTTGTTTCCCCTTGGGAAGCTGGAAGGCTTAATTAAAGAATGTTTGTAAAGCTTGAGAGGTTCTCAGAAAAAGACACCCAGGGAAAAGCAAGAGGTCACAGAGTTGAATATTCAACCCTGGAGTCATCAGCAGGCGGTTTTTCCCCTCTGAAGCTCATCAGCATTTCGCGGGAGTCAAACTTTGGGCTCCAAAATACTTTCTCTGAACGTAGATATCTTTACCGAAGAGCAAATATCTTTCCCTATCTGAGCTCCCTCCCTGCCTATAACTTAAATGGAAGCAACAAGTCAAACTGACAAAAAACATTCTGCTCAGCCTGGCTGGCCAGGCATTCTGTCCTTCGTTTTTTTCCTCTCCTAACAACACAACCCCAAACTTCCTTCTATGTAAAGTGACGTCAAAAGAAGCCACTCAAATCAGCACCCTGTCAACAATTAAATGTGATCCAAAAAGCATGAAAAGACAGAGCATGATTGTATATCGATGTACGTGATAATATGATAAATGCCAGAGCCCAGAGTCTCATCAATGCCCCCAAGCCCTGCTCTCTGAGTCTGGAGAAGATCGCTGACCTTTAAACTCACCCTGACTATCGAAACCTCTCATATCTCCCAGCTGGACATCCCACTCTGCCTGCACCTTGGAAATCAGCCTGGGAACCACGGTGTGGTAGCCAGTAAGAGAAGACCCTGGGCTAAATACGGGGGTCTTCTTGGGAGCAGCTGTACCCATGCCAGCCAGGACTGCACAGAGGGGGAGATACCCAAGGGCAGTCATCTCTCCCTGTTGAGGCTTTTGTAAACTCATCTCATAGCTGTAACTGCCTCTGCCAGAGATCCACTCCTGAAACCCTCAGCCCAGGGTACCGCTGCCCTGGGCTGATAGGTACAGAGGGTACAGAGGGACAGAGGACTAACAGGACACAAACAAACCCAAGAGCAAGAACCCGGGCCCCTCTGGACCTTACCTGCACACTGCTTTATCCCTGGATGGCTTCTGACAGAACAAGTCGTGGGGTCCTGGCGGGTGGCCGGTCCAAGAGGCAGCCCCAACTCCAGCTCGGGAAGGTGCCAGAGAGGAGCTGTGAGCGCCACCAAAGCCCCTTAGAATGTCAGTTCTGGTGCTTCATCCCCGCTTTTATGGCTAGAGCCTCCCCCTGTCGCTCAGCCCTCTCTGAGCACAGGCTGCTCAGAGCCAATGGGGAAGGAAGTGGCTCAGAGCAGAGCGCAGACCCCCAGGCCCTTCCACTCAACTCCAGCCGACACAATAGCTTCTCTTCGTGATGTGGAGGAGGGAGCAGCCGGCAGTGGGTGGGGGAGGATTCTGGGTGCAGTGCTGTTTGTCACTTGAAATCCAGCCACTTCAGTGTTTGTTTGATGCATTTCCAGGAGAATGTCACAGGAAAAAGGAGATAGCGGCAGGTGAAGAGAGACACAGAATGAGTTAGGGAAAGACGGAGAGCAGGAGAAAAAGAGGGCTACAGTCAAAGGAGTCAGGCAGGCAGATGGATACCGAGACAAATGGAGAGACTCGGAGTGAAACGGAGAACTGGGGACAGAGTCAGTGCCACCGAACCAGGGAGCAATGAGATAACACAGGAGCAAGCGCAAGGCTCGGAGACAGCCCACGGCATCCCAGACCGGGAGCACACACGGGGACAGGTGGAATGGACGGTCAGAGGTGGTGCTGGGGGGAGAGGAGACAGACTCAGAAGGCAGGGACAGGGTGACAGGCGCAGAGAAGGTGGGAAGCTGGGGACCCCTGATGATGGCAGAGAAAGGGGCCCGGGGGGCAGCAGGCACACGCACTGCCCCGCGCTAGTGCCCATGTGTGCCGGGGTATTTCTGTGTTCATTTGCCATGAATGCCAGGCGGCTCTGGTACACGCTGAGCAGCGCCAGGCACTCGGGCCCTGGCAGGCACACAGCCCGCAGTCTGGAGCTGCTGCTTCGCTGGCGACAACACAGAATGAAATCCCCCTCAAAATATGGGCTGTGATGTGCCTTTGTGCGGGCCAGGTGGGGGCTCGCCTGCCTCCTGTGCCCTGGCTCATGCCAGCAGCAGCTGGAAAGCCGTGCCCTGTCGGGCTGCTGCAGGACCCTCCAGCACATAGCCAAATGGCTCCCAGAGGTGGGCACAGCCGTCAGAACCTGGCCAGGCTGCCGTCTCCCAGGACCTCTGCTGCACCAGGCAGCGAGCTCAAGTTGCGGAGTTCAAGCCTCACAACTTAGCCAGGTGGTTAATGTCTCCCCTATCCTGCAGGTGAGAAACTGAGGCTTGGGGGCTGAGAACCATTCCCGACATCCTGCAGCAAGCCAGCCACTGAACTAGCATGGAAACCCAGGTTCCTCTCTCCCCACAGTTTCTGCTCACCACCTGACCTGACCCCAGCAGGAAACCTTCAATCTGCAGCTCTCCCTCCCCCGGTCCTTCTCTGGGACTGAGTCTCTCCACGTATGTAGTGTAGAAGAGAACATCTGACAACATTGCACTATGGGTTTGATTCTCTGCTCTGCTATGAAACAGTAGAGAGGCCTTAGCTAAATTAGTAACCCCAGCCTCAGTCATCTCATCTCTGAAATGGGACCAAGATTGCATCCGGCTCTTGCGAGGGTGAAACAAGAACTGGGTACCAGCACTTGACTCAGTAGCACCAGGTGAGCTCCATCACTACTGTGCTGTGGCCCCTCACTCTGGTCCAGCTCTCGCATATCTCCATCCCCTGGGCCTCGTCCCCTCCCTGCACATCCCCTCACAGGGGCATGACAGAAAGGGCCATTTTCTGAGCACCTGTGTGTCCAACATTGCCACATGCTCCAGTGTCTCCTCTTCTAAGCTGTGCATGGCCATCACAGCGCATCCTGGCCATGAGGGACTTCAGGGGTGAAGCCCGCCTGGAGGAGGGGCCCTTCAGGCTGGAGATAGGCCCTCGTTTTTTCCAAAGAGGCCCTGGGGCCAGGCCTTGCTCTCCAGCCACTCTGCCTGCTTTCTCCGGAGGCACACGGTGCCTGCTAGGTAGAGGCAAAGGACCCCAGGGGCCCTGGTGCTGTCTGCACGGCAGGGAGCCGAGTGCTCGCTGTCTCTGGGCATCAGAAGCCTGGGAATGAGCTGCTGCTTCACCCCGAGGCCACACGCTCACAGCAGTCACTCTCAGCCCTCCTTATCCGCACGCCCCAAGCTCCACTTTATGAGCTTCCATTCAGGAAGAACGAAGTAGAAGACAGGAAGGTTAAATAAATAGATAAAGCCAGCATTTGCTTTTTTAAAAATTTAGGTATAGCTGGACATGGTGACACACATCCATAATCCCAGCACCCAGGAGGTGGAGGCAGGAGGATTGTTGTGAGTTTGAGACCAACCTGGGCTACAAAGTGAGCTCAAGACCAGCCTGAACTGTATAGTAAGACCCTGTCTCAAAAGACCAAAAAAAAAAAAAAATGGTAGAGAATAATACAGAAAACTGGTTTCGTCTGGCACATAATGCAGTCTGGATCTTTTCCACCCCTCGTTTCCCTTCTCTTTGCTTATCCTTTCCCTCTTTATCTATCCCTCCCCTTTGTTCCCTTCTGCTTCCCCAATAATCCTCCTTCCATGCTCTCACTCCCTTCTGTCCCCTTGATGATATTTGTATTCCTGAATCTCACTTATTTTGATTAACATGTTGATCTCTCATTCCATCCATTTTTCTGCAGATGACATGATTTTCTTCTTTATGGCTGAATAGTACTCCACTGTATATCTACACCAATTCTCCTTACCCCGTCATCTGCTGAACACTCCAGGCTGTTTCTATGGCTTAGCTATTGGCATTTCTTAAGGGCTTGCTATACGTTGGGCCCTACTATATGAGTCCTTTATATTTATCAGCCACCTTGCTGTGAAGAACATTCCTAGGCACCCACTCCCCAATAGGTAAGGACGCAGAGCTGAAGAAATGAAGTCACTTCCTTAAAGCCACATGGCTGGCAGGTGGCAGCTCAAGTCTGGCTCCACACGCAGGCCCTGCCTGGCTCTTGTCTCAGGCACAAAGCTGCTGTCTTCTCAGGTCACCCAGGAAGACAGCGGCAGAGGGCACAGACCACTCAGGACTTTGGTGGTATTTCACCCCTGTCCTTGGTTACCTTCAAGTTTCAGGAGTCACTTTTCATGCATAGTGTGTCCATGTGAGTTCCAGAGAACAGCTCTGGGGCCTGACTGACAAGAGAGCCCCAGACCCCACCGCCCCAGACTCCACCAACCAGTCCCCACCGCCCTGCCGTGTTGTCCCAGAGCAAAGGAAAGCTATAGCAGATGGAAACGGTTCTCCAGATGGACCAATCACCAGCAGATGTGGAGAAACAAGTTCCTCATCTCTATCTGGCTCCTGAGCATTTCTCCACCCTTTGATATTGGTTATTAAGATTTAAATCCAACACAGTGCCTGCTCTCCTCTAGCTCATAACCCCAAGGAGACACACGTAGCCATCCAAAGTTACAAAACATATGCCAAAGCAAAGTAATGCAAGATACAGGAGCAGAAGAAATTAACTCTGCCTGGAAACGTAAGGAACATTCAAAAAGACTCCCTAAAGAGTTCACATGAGAGATGGGTTTTGAAGGATGAATAAGAGTCTGTCAAACAAAGAAAAGTCTCCCAATACACCTCCAAAAACCAATGTTGAAGATATGGAGAAATTAGAAGCCTCATGTAAAATGGTGTTGCCACTGTCGGAAAAATTCTGGAAGTTCTTCATGGTGTTAATCACAAAATTGACCATATGATCCAGCAATTCTACTCCTAGATATAAACTGAAAATAGACCACGATGAGGCCATCCTTTAGAAATGATCTTCACTACATAAAACAAAAACCTAAGTGAGTTGTCTTGTGACATGGGGCCATTTGTTGTGAAGAGGTCTGAGTCCCTGGGTTGGCCTGGGGCTTCATGAGCTCATTGGGGGATTAAATCACTTGGGAAAGTCCCACGTCACTTCCTTGATTCTCTCGCACAGGACGCGCTGTTAGCTTTTATCCCCCGGCTTGTTGCTTCCTGATACGCTGGCTACAGTGCAAAGCCTCAGGTGCTCTGGTAACCTTAGTATGGCTCAGGAGTGGGAAAGGGGGCGATGGCAGGGCCTCCCCTGTGCTTTCAGTTCCTTCAGTCAGAGCAGGACATCTTCCAGAACCCACCACACACACACACACACACACACACACACACACACTGGTCCGAGGACTGCCTCGCCCCACTGGTCAGGGGGCTGTCCCCAGCTGTGAGGAAGGCTAAGTAAGTGACGTTCTGTCTCCTGGGCATTTAGAGTAAGAAGCAGAGGTAGGAAGAGTTGGGTCAGAGCCTGCTCCAATAAGAGTTTTGCTGTATTTTCCCATCACAGTGCAGACAGATGCCAGCAGCTGAGCCATGCACTGAAAATGAAGAGAATGTCCAATTCCCCACAGGCAAAGCTTTTTTCTCTCATATTTTGTCCCAGCTGTTCCTGCTGGATCACAGTTTTCTGCTCCTTGGATAATAGTTACTGTCTGTCTCCTTGGCACTGGCCCCTCTGCTAAGTGACCTCCGGGTACTATCTCATTTCGCCCACACATAAAACCAGTAAGGTGGGTGCTGTTGTCTTCATCTGCTGGAGAAAGAAACTAACCTTGGAGAGACAGTGACTTGCCTAAGATCACACAGCTCATGGTGAAATAGACCCCACATTTATCTGACTCCAAAGGCCAGGCTTCCAGCTGCTACCTCACAGAGTCAAGCTGATAGCCAAGAGCAAGACACGCACTCTGTGATTCACTGAGAGCCAGCCTCTGCCCCGCACAGTGCAGCGAACAGGGGTAAGTCATCTTCAGGGCCTGCTCAGTGAGTCTGATGGTTAGGTGTCATATACTCACTTTGCAGATGAAGAAACAGGCTCAGAGAGGCAAGATAACTTCCTAAGTAGCACAGAGGGTTCATGGTAGCATCACTACTTGCAGTCTTCTAGTTATAAAGTCTGAGCCCCTTGCAGCTGTCACATCCTCCCATGACGTCCCCCCACTTCTTCAGTCATGTTGGAGCAAACTGAATGCGGATTTGATCAGAATCCCTGTGGCAAAGACAAATGTCACCTGTATCCTGTGCACTT